GTGATTTGCCTGCCTCGGCCTCCCACAGTACTGGGATTACAGGCGGAAGCCACCCGCGCCTGCTGAATGGCTTAGGAGATAATGATAATTTTTTTTAAAGTCTCTACATGTTTGATACGGATGTAAGCATCCATTTTTTTTCTTTTGAATATTTTTCATCTGTGGTTGGTTGAATCCAGAGACATGGAACCCACAAATATAGAGGGCTGACTGTAATTGTTTTCATTTACCTTTCGACATTTCATATATTTCTAGTCAGTTTATTTTCTCCAGTCTATCACAGACTTTTAGCTTGCTCTTTCTTTAATACTTATTTAATCTCCAATGAATTTTGAAACATTATATTTTTCTTTTACTAGCCTCAGCACTTACCGTACTGATGACACAAATACATTCCTTTTGACCCATTCTCAAGTTTATATTTTACTTAATTTAGTGTACGCATCTCAGAAAAGAAGCCCATTCTTTCTAAAGTGATTTGAAGTTTTCTTTTTAATCACTCACAATTAAAAAAAATTTCTTCATATTTATACATATATATACATGTATAATTTTCTTTTGTTTTTCTTTTTGTCAAATTGACCCTCAAGTTGATGGTTTTCATTTTAAGTGTTGGTTCATGGTTTCTGACATATGTGCTTGCTGTTCACCAACACTTCACTTTGTTTTAGTTACTTTTCAGATTTGACAGTAGGTACTTGTATCAGTTCCTTTGCTAATCTGAGGCAGAGATCAAAATAAACTAGTCTTAAACAATCTTGGTGTTTATCCATGCTGGACCACGTAGCTTCTCTCTGCTAGTTATCATGAGGGTGGTCATAACCACTCAACATTCTTTTTATACCTACCTTATTCCTTGCCTAATCAGGATTTAGAAGCAATATTTGAATAACTTACTAATCTTTTCTAAGATGTGATCCTTTGCATCATTAGAAAAAAAAAGGTTCCTATAGAAACAATCTTCTAAGTAAATGATAGTATAGAAACATTTCCTGGAGCCTACAAAGTGACCTCTTGAAATACACTAAATTAGTTCTTATCTGTTGGAACATTGAGATCTTTCCTTTATTTCACTTTGGAAAAGAAGAATAAATTGGTAAAAATGTGCTCTGCAATCCTCTGCCCTGCCTTAGAGTATGTAAATAGCATCATGCACAAAAAATTTTCAAGCTGTCAGGAGTAAAATAAGTATGATAATTTGGGATAATTAAATGCTTAAGACAATCAAAATAGAACTGATCCTAGTAAGCTTTTCTCACTTGAAGGAAATTTCTTTAAAGAGTAGTTACTGATCTAAACGTCTTTCAATAGGCTATTAAAATAATTATGGTACAACAATCTGCAGTTTGAAATATTTCAGTCTTTAAAAAACGAGAAGCATACCTATACGTATGGACATAGATAGTTGTTTTTAAAAACGATTGTGAATAATTCATACACTATCATCCCATTCACATAAAATAAGAGCAGAAATAGAGGTAAAATATATACAAAGAGAGAGGGCACTGACTGGAAAGATACCACACCAAACCATACTTACTTCTACATTAAGAGCTTTTGTTTCAATGTCCATTTCTTTCTTCTACCAGATTATCAACTGCTGTATTGCCAGACCAAATACAGGATACTCAAAGTTGAATTTCAACCCTAAGCAACAAAATTTTGCATTTCCCAAATATTACATGGGACATAGTTATAGTCGAAAAGTATTCATTGTTTATCTGAAATTAAAATTTGAGTGCCCTGTATTTTTATTTGTTAAATCTGGCAACTCCACCTTAAAGAGACTTTAAATTATCCATCCTTGTACTCCTATTACTAACATAATCACAGAGATATACTGGATTACAATAAACAGCATGAGGGGGAGCAATTTAGAAAAGAACAATCAAAACAGGTGATTTTGCTAAGTATGTTACATATTTACCTAAATTCTCATGGAAATATTTTCAAATTCCATTAGTGGTCCTATTTTACAGATTAAAAAACAGAAATATGCAGAAGACACACAGTAAGCAAGCATCAGAGGTAGAAATGACCCTGAGTTTCTGGGTCCCTATTCAGCAGCCATAAGCAAATGCCAGCTGCAGGAAGGTGGAGGGGGAAGAAGTAAGAAGGGAACAAGAGGTGAGGTTTACGTTCTGCCTAAGTGGAACAGAGTAGAACTTTGCACAAACTCCTTAATCTTGCCTAAAGGCAGAATGTGGGATGTACTATATGGGAGGCAGGCAAATCTGGGCCTGGTTCCCGCCTCCATCACTCATTTGAACAAGTTACGTAATTTACTTTTGCATCAATTTTCTTGTCTGTAAAACTGGAGTGAGAGGACCTAACCTCAGTACTGACGTGAAGAGTCAATGAGACATCTGTGAAGTGATCAGCACAAATTTGGCAAGTGGAAGACTAAGTCAAGCTAACTTAAAGCCCCAGTTTTTTCATTTGTAAAACAGAACAAGAAAAATGATAGCAACAAGCAATAATACTAACAATATTTATTTTGCCTCTGAGTTGTTTTGAGGATCAGATGAGAACATATATTATATTTCTAAAGTCTAAAGTGTATCTCACTCTCCTAAAGTTGCTCTTCAGATCAGGACCAGAGCTCATATCATGTCTGAGCATTAATTACTCAAATTTTATTTTTAAACTTATCTACAGTAAAACTGACTCTTTTGGTGTACAAAGTTCTATGATTTTTAACACATTGTATGGGTTTATGTAACCACCACCACAATCCGGATACAGAGCATGACTACATCTTTAGAGTTTCTTTTTCAAAGTGTTTTACATTCATGTTGCAAAACACTTTTAAAAATAAGAAAAGGGATTTAGATAAACGTGCTGAAGATGCAAATTAATGAAACTGGCGTTTTTGCACAAATCTCTGCAGTTTCCATTTCTTTCAGCTGTTGTCTGAGCCATTTGTGCTGTCAGCTTTGCAGACTATCTCTTCCTATAATAGTAATCGAGCATCCATTGGGGAGCTGGGGTCTTTCTTCACACTAAAGGCACACGTCCCAGGCACAAGCTTCAGCATCCCTATTTGATCCTTTTTATATGACCAGGTTTTAAATTTCCGAACCATGTTTTCCCTAATTGCCATTTTTCTCTCTAAAATGAAGAAGCCTGGAATAACCAGCACCTTCTTACCCTTCCCGGGAAATTATTTAATTGGGACAAAGGGGCTATGTAGTTACAGAGAGCAACGACAGGGCTTTCGGAACCCAAAACCTGTCTGGTATAATAACAGGTCCTCCCGGTAATCAACCATTCAATCTGTCCCTTTCCCCAACCCCATTCTCTCCCCAACCCCATCCTCTCCATCACCACCTGCCAGATATCCCCTGGGACAATCGACTTCGGAACCAAACTTCTCTCTCAGGTCAGCTCCCGCAACCCCCTACTCCCCACCTTTGGAGCTTCCCCGGTTAAAGTGATTTTAACCTAGCTACATCTGGGGAGTCGGGGGGCGGGTCCGCTTTCCGGGTGACTCACGTCTTTGCTATTTGCCTTTTGTTTCTAGGATGCTTTGGCTGCCTTTCTCTTCCATCTGCTTTTAATTTTGGTAGGAGAAAAGCTAATGAATCAGGAATGAATCTCCTTTCCACTAATCTCTCTCTCTCAAAGTTGGCGCGCTCTCTTCACAAGTTCCATCACTACCCAAGTGAGGGGGCGGGACAGGCGGGAAGGCATTAATTACACCTAAATCTGAAGTCTGCGGCCTCAGGTACCACTTTGAAAGAGAGTTTCTGAAGCTTCCATACAACCTGCTGTGCGTTTGCTGCTGCCGCTGTAGATTTTCAGCTCTTTTCTTTCTGCTGCTGCTTCGCGCTTCTCTGGCATGTCTAAATCTATCTCATCACTGCCAAAGATGCCCGAATCAAGGTGAATTCCACGAGATTCACCAGCTGTTTTGCTCCCGTCCAAGGTAAATACAATATGCAAAATGAGGAACCACCCAAGGATGTCGGGGAGGGGGGAGAGAAAGGGATTCCCTCATCTTTTCCGGCACATTCCTCGTTAATTTCCACCAGGAGGAGGCGCGCAGCCCAGTTCCCCAGTCTCTTCTTAAATCCCTCTACCTACGGCAGCCGAGGTTGGCCGCGCGGCAAGAGTCCCCCGACAGTCCTGGCCCTTCCCCGCCCCCCGGTTGGTTTTTCCCAGCTGCGGAGGTTGGGAGGTTGGGCCAGGGGCTGCGGTGCAAGGAGAATCTGCGCCCGCAGCGCGGAGCCGGAAAGTCGTCGCGACTCTGGTGGAACTCGGAGTTGCCTCTGGAGGCGGCGGCGCGGAGGTGAGCGGTCGGAGCCCGCGGCCTGGGAGAGACCCAGGAGGCGTCGCTGGGGTCCCTCCCCATCCTCGGGTGGAGAGTAGCGTTGGTTCGCGTTGCCTCCCTACCCCAAGTCCCATTGCAGCTTTGTTCCCAGACGCTTCTCTCCTCTTTGGAGATGATTTGAACCCTTTCGGATCCGAGGGGCTGGCGGGGGCGCGGGCTGGGGAGGGGAGGGCGACAGCTGTAGGGCCCTCCACTTCCTGCTAATGCGAGAAGGTACAAAAAGACATCAAAAACTCCTGTAACCTGAAACTTCCTCGCTTCCTAACCGGGACTGGGAGGAGAGGTCCGGGCGGGGGTGGAGACTCCCGGAGGCTGACCTTCCGCGGAGGCGGTGCGGGAAGGAACCGGGAGAGGGAGAAGTTTGGTAGGGAAGGAACTGGGGATTAAGTGAGAAGTTAGACGCGGGAGACGAGTCTTCTCGGGAAAGGCGGGAGGCTGGACGGGTTTATTGAGTGTGGGCCAGGGGAGAAGGAAGACTTTGCGCTCTCAGTGTCGGACGCGCGTCCCCCTCCTGAGTAAGGGTGACTGAAAGGGTTGGGGAGGCGAGGCCGGGGCGGGCTTTCTGAGGGAGGTCTCTAGGACAAAGTGGAGGCGACCAGACTCGAAAAGGCCGGTTTTTGTACTCCGGAAGCCGCTTCACGCCTCTCTCCTGCTTGTCCCAGGTCCCTCAGAGGATCCAGCGAGGGGCGCCATCGAGAGGCGAGGAAGTGCCACCGGGGCAGCGGCAGGAAGAGGTGCGGGAGCAGGAGCGCCCAGCCGAGCGTCCCGACCCGCCGCCTTGCGTACTTTCTGGAGGGAGGGAGCGGGGAACCGGCCCGGAGGGGAGCGCCCCGTGGCGAGGGGCTTAGCCAAGTTCCGGTTGCGGCGCCCTTCCCTCGCTCCCACGAGAGGAAAGTTTTCTCCTGTGGTTTCCGCTGGCTCGCGCTCTCCCGGCCCAGTCTCCCGAACCTTCGGGGCGGGCGCCGTCCCAGCCCAGCTCCGGGGAAACGCCAGCCGCGATGCCTGGGGGGTGTTCCCGGGGCCCCGCCGCCGGGAACGGGCGGCTGCGGTTGGCGCGACTGGCGCTGGTCCTCCTGGGCTGGGTCTCCTCGTCTTCTCCCACCTCCTCAGCATCCTCCTCCTCCTCCTCGGCGCCGTTCCTGGCTTCCGCCGTGTCCGCTCAGCCCCTGCTGCCCGGCCAGTGCCCCGCGCTGTGCGAGTGCTCCGAGGCGGCGCGCACAGTCAAGTGCGTTAACCGCAATCTGACCGAGGTGCCCACGGACCTGCCCCCCTACGTGCGCAACCTTTTCCTTACCGGCAACCAGCTGGCCGTGCTCCCTGCCGGCGCCTTCGCCCGCGTGCCGCCGCTGGCCGAGCTGGCCGCGCTCAACCTCAGCGGAAGCCGCCTGGAGGAGGTGCAGGCGGGCGCCTTCGAGCATCTGCCCAGCCTGCGCCAGCTCGACCTCAGCCACAACCCGCTGGCCGTCCTCAGCCCCTTCGCTTTCTCAGGCAGCAATGCCAGCGTGTCGGCCCCTAGTCCCCTTGTGGAACTGATCCTGAACCACATCGTGCCCCCTGAAGATGAGCGAAATAACCGGAGCTTCGAGGGCATGGTGGTGGCGGCCCTGCGGGCGGGCGGTGCACTGCATGGGCTCCACCGCCTGGAGCTGGCCAGCAACCACTTCCTTTACCTGCCGCGGGATGTGCTGGCCCAACTGCCCAGCCTCAGGCACCTGGACTTAAGTAATAATTCGTTGGTAAGCTTGACCTATGTGTCCTTCCGCAACCTGACACATCTAGAAAGCCTCCACCTGGAAGACAATGCCCTCAAGGTCCTTCACAATGGCACCCTGGCTGAGTTGCAAGGTCTGCCCCACGTCAGGGTCTTCCTGGACAACAATCCCTGGGTGTGCGACTGCCACATGGCAGACATGGTGGCCTGGCTCAAGGAGACAGAGGTAGTGCAAGGCAAATACCAGCTCACCTGTGCATTTCCGGAAAAAATGAGGAATCGGGTTCTCTTGGAACTCAACAGTGCTGACCTGGACTGTGACCCTATTCTTCCCCCATCCCTGCAAACCTCTTATGTCTTCCTGGGTATTGTTTTAGCCCTGATAGGCGCTATTTTCCTCCTGGTTTTGTATTTGAACCGCAAGGGGATAAAAAAGTGGATGCATAACATCAGAGATGCCTGCAGGGATCACATGGAAGGGTATCATTACAGATATGAAATCAATGCGGACCCCAGGTTAACAAACCTCAGTTCTAACTCGGATGTCTGAGAAATTAGAGGACAGACCAAGGACAACTCTGCATGAGGTGTAGACTTAAGCTTTATCCCTACTAGGCTTGCTCCACTTTTATCCTCTATAGACACCGCTGACTTTGACTAAAAGCAGTGAAAGGAGATTTGCTTCCTTGTTATGTAAAGTTTCTTGGTGTATTCTGTTAACGTAAGGCGATGAACAACTGTGTAGAATGTTTTACCCTCTTTTGCTTGGAACTCCTTACACGTGTGGAGGGATTTTTCAGGTTTCAGCATGAACATGGACTCCTTGCTGTCTGTCTGTCTCTTAGTACAGTTCAAGGTGTAGCAAGTGTACCCACACAGATAGCATTCAACAAAAGCTGCCTCAACTTTTTGAGAAAAATACTTTATTATCAGTTTTATTCTCATGTGCCTAAGTTGTGGAGAAAGTAATTGCATCCCATAAACTGCCTGCAGACTTTAGCAAGCTCTTCAAAATAACTCCATAGTACACAGGAGCATCTGCATCCAGGAGCATGCTTACATTTTACTGTTCTGCATATTACAAAAAATAACTTGCAACTTCAGATAATTTCTGAAAATTAAAAGTAAATTGCTTTTTTGATTGCAGTTTATATGAGACTGCACTGAAGTTTTTTTTTTTTTTGTAATAAACTGTATCGAGATCCAACAGACCGAATTGTTAAAAAAAAATAAATAAATAAAGATTCTTCAAAGAATTACAGTGTGTTCAAGTCTGCTTTGAAAAAAGGATTAAGGGCAATGGTGGTCAGTAGTCTTGGTTCAGATGATAATTATTAGTTAGCATAGCTGAGAATCAAACTGTAGCAATGTCTGGTATAAATAGACGGGAGATCGTTTTGAAAAGGTGGATCCTTTTAGTGTTGAAATGGAGAGTTTGAGTATTCGTGTGACTAGACTTATGGTCCCAAAGTTAATGCTATTTATGAAACAGTTTTGTAAGAGCCTAACGAAGCTGGTAAAAGTGAAGCGTTCTGTACAATAAACAGTTTCCAGTTTGGGGCTTTGTCAAGGCTAATGAAGTTACTGTTAGCATAAAACAATAGTATTGACTTAAAACTATTTGAAATTGTTCTGTAGATTTTTAGAGCAGAATGTGAAACAAATGCAAATAAATAAGATGAACTTTCTTAAAGACAGAATATTCTGAAAGATATAAAATATAAATTTTAAAAACATTTCTCAATGTCATAATGTAAATTGAAACTTAGGTTTTCTTGAGGATATTTTTAAGAAATATTTAAAGTGAAACATAAATGATCTTTATCAGAGATTCAGCTAATATGTTTAAAAAGTTGACATGGTTGAATATGAACTTGAGGAAGTAACCACAGATAAATGTCTACATCTATAAACAAATGTCTCAAGTTTTTATAGGTTCTTCAGTTCAGTGTTTAAGAATTTGAGGAGATTTTGATTTTAGCTACGCTGTTCATAATGTAAGTATATACACCTTGGTGAAGAATAAATCACATTTATGTGTAAATACAGGCAATCATTAAATGATACCATCCATAATATACAAGGCTTTTGTTTGTCAGTTTAATATCTGCCATTTAAGCTGAAAACTAAATTAACCAATCTTCAAGCTCTTATATCAAGCAACTTAAATGTAGCCATTAGTGCTTAACTGAAAGTATTAGGTAAACTAACATCAGTAAGTCTTAGGGCCTGCTTTTCCTTTCAGCTAGTTATGTCCTGCAGTGCTTTATCTTTGAAATATAATCTACATTTCTATATTTTTATAAATAAGATCAGATAGCATTTTAGCTTCTGGAAATCTTTGCTGATTCCTTCTTTGAATTAAATTCAGAAAATTTCAAAGTAGGACTAAAAGTATGTAAATCTTTTCCTTTTTTAGGTTAGATTATATAGTCAGAATACGAAGCTTTAATTCCTTAAATTCCATAAGGCTCATTTTATGAAATACAGTGTTTATTATTTAAGGGTTATATTTCAGACCCTATAATTACCTGAGAAAAGGCTAAATATTTGGCACCGAATATTCCATCAAGCAGTTTAAGTGTTCATCAGAAATTCTTAGTGTCTCATTGCCATGATTTGATAAGAACAATGAGATTCTAAACCGTCAAAAATGATGACCACTATCTTAGTAAACTGTTGATGAACTTCAGTTGGAAAGTCTGCTGATATTTTAGAAAACAAATTGTAATATTGATAGAGCCTCTATTGAGAATAACTGTTTCTTCATCACATGATAATCTAACAGTTTAAAGTGGAGCTTTATCTAAGAACCAGGAAAGTAGTCTAGCTTTATTCATCAACTGCTTGAAGCAATGATGAACCTGTGATAAAGTGAAGCCAGGTTTTCCCTGTTAAGTAGTAGATGGCTTCTTTGAAGGTACAATTTATTGCTGCTTTTTCATTCCCCTACTTACTCTTTTGTATGGACTTTCCAGTTGCCGCTGCTTTGTTTTCCATCACCTCACTCCTCTGCTGTTCTCCAAAATATGGAAATAAAAAGAAAGAACATCTTATTCTTAAGATAAAAAATGGTTATTTGACAACTAATTAATATTGTGCAGCCCTAATACTCTTAAGTCTGTAAGCCTACAAAACATTCTGAGTTTCTTGGAAGATAGACGCTATATAAATTTAATAGGTATAAATTTAATAACTAATGTAAGGAACCATTTGATCTCAAGGGAAAATGGGAAATATAAATAAGAGAATATGGGAAAAATAAAAGTATCACTTCATTTAAAAATAAGACAAGTCTGTTTGTTTTAAATACTCTTCTTACTATTAATATTAATGCATTATTGACTAGAAACCTGCAAGTATCCATGTTTAAAACGTTATTTTAGTTGGTAATACTCTTTATTACATTTTCAAGATAAAACACCCTTCATTTATCCTTTACAAGTTTCATTTAAAGAAAGTTAGAAAAAATACTTAGAAGTTCAAGGACTTGATAAATCCCTTAATTTAAAAAGCTATTCAAATGTCTGATACATTTCTATTTAAAGTAGCAAAAATTTTGGGATAATACAGCTATTTGGCCCTGAATCATAACTGCCCCCTTTGATCATAACTTGAGTTTGCAGCATTCAATGGTAACCTATAAGGCAAATTTGTACAGGAGCTGATAGATTTTTCTAACAAAATAAAGGGACTTTGAAGCACATTGAATACAATTTTTTTTTTAATGAATAAGATTTTTTAAATGAAAAAGTAGGGGTTGGGGGGAAGGCTGGTTGAAATAAATGAACAAATCACAAATAATACATCCTTTAGAAATACCTTGATTGGCAGTAAATGTGGATTATGCTCATCTCAGTATTTAATTAGAAATACTTTGTTTTCTGTCTTTTTAATTAAAGTAGCTGTAAAAAAGAAGGTCCGGATGAGATAACTAAGATTGTTTCCTTAGGAATTCTGTTTTACTCTGTCCCTTTGACTTGATGTTCTAAAATGAGGCTTACCTTGTTGAGGACCTAGAGGCTTTGCAACTCTAGACTGTGACTCTTTCATATAATTTCTGCATTCCATTTTAATTTTTCTCCCAAGACTACACTAAAGGAGACATCATGAGGATTTGTAAGGTTAAAAACAATTTTGCACATGCTTCTTCCTGCTCCCAAATTCAGTCATCCAGCTTTCAGAGCAGCACCATAAAGTGAAGACAGACATTTATTAGATGAAATTCTGGTTTCACTTTTACACTTGTGCAAGGATTTTTAACAGTAAAGGAGAGGAAAGGGAGTAAGTTATATTTCTAGATGATATATGAAAATTACCTTGACATTGTATTTTTAAAATCTTGCACCAATACTGCAGTGCTGCAATAGAATAATTAGTTTAAGAAATTAGATTCCACATTGTCTGGGCAATCCTGTCTCATTTTAGATGAGGGAAAACAGCTTGAGGATGTTTTGTATAGTTATTTTCCCATTGTTACTCTTAGAGACTTTTGTTTCAAAAGGGCAGGCTCATTTTATTTTGTTTTATCTTAGAACATTTTAGCAGCTCTTTGTCACGTGTTAAAAAAAAATCTAGATTTAAAAAAATGTTTATGATTTATATCATTTTGACAAGAATACAAATTATTAGTAGTTCAAAATTGGAAGGGCTCTTAGAAGTGTCAAGATCAGCTTTACATTCTACAAATGAAGTAACTGGTAATTGTGACTTATTATGTTGTATAATGACAACAAGGACAAAATCCCAGGGTTCTAGATTGCCCTTCTGGTGCCTTTTTTGCCAGATGATGGCATTACTAGTTGCCTACCTTGAGGCCTTTGAAATCCTCATGTCTAAAGGCAATTGCTTTGGTGAATTTGTTTTATTGTTTCTGCTTTGAGCAAATGCTTGTGTAACTCAACCTTAAAGGTGAGTTAGCTCAGCTGGTGAGAAACTAAACAAATGGAGACCAAGTTCATGACCAGTCAGTCAGTCAGTCACCAGGTGAGACAGTCAGCTTTGCATTTTCTGCTCTGTTCTTGTAGCTCACGCCCACTCCAGGTGCATGCTGCCATCCTCCAAGGGTCTGGACCAAACAGGGAAGTTAAATCTATGCAAATCTATTATCACCCTGGAAAACCAGGGGACTGACCAGCCAAACACTGCCAGCTCCGGTGCTGATGTGCCAGTTTACTGTCTTTACATATGCAGAACACATACTACATCTCAGTTTCCTCACATCATAGTATTTGAGCTGCAGATTGCAAAGAGTTTATAATTTGTGAATTTGGGGAAGCTAGCATGAGTACCTTTCAGTGTATTGCATGGGAAATTAATTAGGTTTACTTTATTATTTTTGAAAAGTGTGGGTTAAGATTAAGGATCATGATTACTGTATCATACACTTAAACATAAATGTTTATAGAAACAAATACAATTTATATTTAGCTGACATTTTATGAGAATAGGACTTACTTGTGATTCACAGTGTAACTTGGTTAATGTAAGGAATCATTTGGTCTCAAGGAAGCAGAAGCTCAAGATATGACCCTCTATAAAACTTTTTGTGAAAATTAAATATTTAAAAATATGTATGACCCTCTATAAAACTTTTTGTGAAAATTAAATATTTAAAAATATGTATGACCCTCTATAATACTTTTTGTGAAAATTAAATATTTAAAGATATGTTTTAAAGAGCCAAGGATGTAATTGAGATAGGCTTTAAAAAAAATGCAAAACAGAAGTTTATAGATTTATTTTTCCCCTCTTCCCCTTACAGGTTTTTTTTTTTTTTTTTTTTGAGATGGAGTCTTGCTCTGTCACCCAGGATAGAGAGCGGTGGCATGATCTCAGCTCACTGCAACCTCCGCTTCATGGGTTCAAGCAGTTCTCCTTGCCTCACCTTCCTGAGTAGCTGGGATCACAGGCATGCAGCACCATGCCCGGCTAATTTTTGTGTAGAGATGGGGTTTTACCATGTTGGCCAGGCTGGTCTTGAATTCCTGACGTCAAACGATTTGCCTGCCATGGCCTCCCAAAGTGTTGGGATTACAGGCTGGAGCCACTGTGCCTGGCTGTCAGTTCTTTTCCTAATACCTTTTACTTTCTTCCTCTGAAGAGAGCCATGACAAATAACATTTCAAGGTCACTGTACACATGGAAATTGGACTGACTGCAACATTAGGTGGGTCAATTTACAAATACACATGACTTTATGACAGTTTCTCTCAATTTTCTAATACAGCATTATATTGTATTCAAGGAGGACTTT